TTTCTTCTACTTCACTTGTATTTAATTTAATTTCAGCTTTTTTCCTTTTTTTTTCTTTTGATACATGCTGAGATAATTCCACTTCTGATTTTCATGTTTTGCAACACATGTATTTAAGGCAATCAATTTTTCACAAGAAAGACCTCTGCTCTATTTCAGTCATAAGTCGTATAAAAATTGTGAGTATCCATTGTGGTAATTTCTTTGGCTCTTACTTTCTTTACCAATATGACAGAATTAAAACTATGTAGATTTTCAAAATTTTGGTTATTGACTTCTACACCAGTTAACTGTAGTTACAGTATTTTGTGTGAAGCTGAAAATGTTCTACATGTCTGTTCAACTGTGGCTGGTGTGATGGAGGAACTGATTTTAAGTGTTATTTATTTTTCATTGATTATTATTAGAACTGAATAGCTACATTTCAAGTGTCACTGGCCAAGCTGCTACTTGAGATTATAGTATATCCTGGACAATTCCCATGATAGCTTAAAAGTATGAGTACTCTGTATTAGTGTAGAGTGTATATGTGTGTGTGTGTGCGCATGTGCATATTTGTAACTGTTAATTGTCTAATTTAAATCTTTGTTTAAGCTCATCGATGTACCTAAGTAATAAGCATTGAGACAAAATTGGCTATTACATGTTTATGATTTTTATTCATTCACTCCTTTCAGTTCTATGTTGAAATAGGATTATTAGGTACATCCATATTCTAAAAGATTATGACTAACTGTACCGCAGGCATGGCATAAGGTGGTGCCTCCATGGAATGGCTCACCTGGTGGTGTGTAGGGCTGGAGCCTTGTTTTGCTTGTTGGCACTTGGGGGGATTATAGTCTGCCACACAGTGTGCAGGTCTGTGGGGGCATGGGCCTCCTTGTGGCACGTGGGCCAGGGGTCTTGTTCCTCTGTTTGCCACACAGGGTGGTGTACATAGCCTGCTGGTTGGTGGTCAAAATCAAGGGACATGGTCTTCCATCTGGGAGATGAGTCCACAGGAGAGTTTCCTATGCTTGGTGCACGGGTCCGTGTGGGTGCGGGGCCCTAAGGTTCTCTTCTTTATCCCTTTGCCACCTGTAGGGGTTTCCACCAGGTACATTCTGATCTTGGCAATGGGAACTCCTGGTCCCCATCTCCTTCACTGACTGTCTCCTGTCACTTGTCTGACGATTTATAATGCAATGCTCTCTCCAAGAGGGTCGGTCCATCCATAGGTGGGCATCTACTTGCAGTTTTTGATCCTCCTCTAGAGAGTGGCATGTGCGGGCTCCTTCTAGTCTGCCATTTTGGCCCCAAGGGCCAGTTTTTCTTTTCTTATGTTGTCTTCTAATTTCCCCCTTCCCATAAGTGTTTTCTGTTCCAAGTAAATGTACTCACGCAAAGAATCTGTATAGTGATTATGCACTTTCTTACTTTCAAATCGTTATTCAGAACATTGTTATTTGGTTTCTTTTTTCTCCTCTTTATTGAGACTGCTTTTCTTTAAGACACTAATGGTTTATTTGTTATTCATTCATTCATTCATTCATTCACTTTGAGTTCTTTTTATATGTCT